TCCCCCCCCCCCCCCCCCCCCCCCCCCCCCCCCCCCCCCCCCGCCCCCCGCCCCCCCCCCCCCCCCCCCCCAGAATTAGAAACAGGTACGTAGTTAATAAAAATAAAAATAAAAGTACATAACTTACGTGGTGTAACTTACCTAACCCGCACATACCTATAGAATGCAATGCGCTCGTGAAGTAGATAGTACATTACATGCATGTAATTATACCTTAGGTACCTACCTCATATATTTAGCTAAGATAGGTACCTAATGCCCGTTACGGGTATGCGGTGATACGGGCATCTTGGGACTGGAAGCATACAGGTATCATCTCATATCACTCACACCTTCTTCTACTTCCTCCTTCTCCAAAGTCTATCTACAGCGTTGTCTACAGCGTAATTCCTGTCATGCCCTCGTCCAACACGCCAACACGCCAACCCCTCCTCAACTTTCGTCCAGTCCACACAGTACAGCACCCTCGTCTTATTAGTACGGGCAGCTTTTCACTTGTAACTTCAAGTTTAGCAGTCTTACAAGAGTTCTCTACTACTTCTCGTTAATGGCCCTTCTAAGGTGTCTCTTATCACCAACATGTTAATCCGTCGCCTGTCCGATACGTTAATGCTTGCCACGCTGAGCGGACTAGCTCTACTACCGACGACATGGGCCAAGGAAACTCAGTATATCACCGGCACAAGCCTCGACGGTGTCAAAGCGAATCTAGCTCTCGATAGGAGGCCAGCCTTATATACTGGCGACTTTGGTGATTGTCTTGCTGGACAAAGCTTGCTAAATATCACCAAGTTTGACGCCGCCTTCTATTACGATAATTCCACCGTCCTCTTCCACCTTGACGGAACTACCAATATACGCAATGAAGATGTTATGTGTACGAAAACCCCAACCCCCTTCCTCAGTATAAGAGTCCCTGGGTTAACTTTTTATGCAGTGTATATATCTGTTGAAGCTTACGGCGAAAGCAGGTTTGCGATGGCAGTAAATCCGTGTAATGTAAACATTTATAGGTATGTATGAACAACTGAGCTCCATGTCACATAATTCTTATAGTTATAATCAGCATGTGTCCAATGAAAGCCGACCAGCCTATCCAAGCATTCGCTTTATTACCAGTCGGTCCACTACAAGTTTCTGGAATACCACAAATCGCTTACGAGGTTCCTGATATCGAGGGGTTCGCGCGGATACAAATATTCGCAAACTCCAGCCAAACCGAGATCGCATGTTTCCAGGCGGTGATGAAGAACGGGAATACATTTTCGCAACCCGAATCGATCAGTACGGTCCTGGGTATTTTCACCCTCGTGGCCATAATAGCTTCGTTTGTGACAGCAGCGTACGGTGTCAGCATACCGCATATGAGAAGCCACTACGCACACTCGCTATCCGTCCTCGTTATTTTCGAAACCTTCCAATCGATATTCTATTCAGGCGCCTTGTCGCTACCTTGGCCCAGCGTGCTTCCGGCGTGGTGGAGCAATTTTGCATGGGCTGCTGGCTTAGTACCCAGCACCGAGATAGTGAATTCGATTAACCCCTTTGTCGGTGTCAGCGGAAACTCCAGCCAGGTCGGAGGAGCCGGTTCCACGGTCGTCAATAATCAAGGAGGCCTTACTCAACAGATTTATGGTCGCTCACTCGTGTCGTATATCGCTAATGGATTATCCAAGAGAGGCCCCGAGGTTTTGAAGAAAACCGGGAGCCTCTTAGGGAAGAGGCAGCCTTACAACTCAAGCGATCCCTACGACTATAATTGGAATGGCAATCCTGTCCATCCGGGAATGCCATTACCTGGAAGCTGGCCTGGGTTCGCAGGGGAGTTATCTGAATTGGGCATTCCCGCTCCGAACGCGTTTATGATCGGGCTAATCTGGCTACTCGTCGTTATTGGGCTTGTAGTCGTCCTGCTCGTGGCTTTCAAATATACCCTCGAGGGTTTGGTAAGATTAAGATGGATTAAACAAGATCGCCTAGAGTATTTTCGATCCCACTGGACAGGCTACCTGATCCTCGCTGTACTCCGGACGCTATTCATTGCGTTCTTCTCTATCACGACCCTAGCCATGTTCCAGTTTGCCATTTGTGGTTCTGCCGGACCTACTGCAATAGCTGCGATTATTTTCGCCATTCTACTGGTTGGTATGGGTGGCTTAGTCCTATATGCGCTTCACTTTCGACTACGTTTTAGCACGTTTTCCATGGATCCCGACCGCATCTTGCTTCGACGTGGCAAGATGTTCGGATGTCTTCCCTGCCTGATACCACAGCGTCTTAGTCAGTTGAAAGAAGAAGAGCTGGGAGAGAAACCAGCTGGTTCCTTACCCTTTATTCGCTTGCATTTCGTCGATGACAATCCCAGTCGGAAAAATGTACACCAGGACGAGGTGTATGTGAAACGATTCGGTTGGTTTTCTGCACGATATAGACTCTCACGGTGGTGGTTCTTTGCCGCTTGGCTATTTTATCAATTCATTCGGGGTTGTTTTCTGGGTGGTGGTACAGGCAACCCCCTCGCTCAAGTTTTCGGACTGTTTATTGTCGATATTCTCGCTCTCGTTATCATCGCAGCCCTTAATCCGTATGAAGGGCAACGCAACACTGCTCTAGCAGTTTGGCTACTAGCGCTCACTCGAGTGATAACAACGGGCCTATCGATTGCCTTTCTTCCTGATTTCAATCTCAATCGCATCGTGGTCACAGTGATCGGGATCGTTATCATTCTTATACAAGCCCTGCTTACAATAGCGGTCATGGTTCTGATAATCATCGGTGGTATATCCTCCTGGATGTCCTTATCTCGAAACCGGGAATATTTTACTTCGCAGAGCCTAGAGGGAATTCGGATTCGTTATTTTGAACACATTGAGCAAAGAGCAACAGACCAGCCTCCGCCGCCGAAGCCCAAAACGAAAGCAGGATTTACATCTGGTTCCACTGAAAAGTTCCCAGAATTACCACTGGAGCCACATTTTGCAGTCAAGTCCGTGAGGCGAGCTCCCAAAATAGAAGACGAGGATGATGACTATCTGGCCGATATAAACCCAGTTCGTGTGACATACGGTCCTGTGGGGAGGACCAGCCGCACTGCTAGTGTCAGTTCGCGGCGTTCAGTCAGCAGCATACCCCGTGGAGCGAGAGGGCAACGCGCTTCGTGGAGTTCCAGGGATTTCTCTCAAGCGGACCTGGATCGACCTAATCCTGCTCTCGTGAGACGAATGAGCGGCGGTGCTCGGCCCGGCTCGGCGAAGATGGCGGATTGCCCGCCGGGCCAGGCTTCAGGAACACCGACTCCCAGCAGACCAATGACTCCTACAAAGGAAGTCCCTGAAAAGGGAGCGGAACTGGATGAGGTAAAGGAGATTGAGAACGAGAAGGACGCTGAGAAGGGTCTGGAGGACTCTCAATAGTCGTGGGAATCCTTGGACAATTCCAGGATGGCACTTATTAGTTAAGGATCGGCCACGAATTTTACGTTCGTATTCCGGATTCCTAGCATTTATTTGTTTAGGCTGCGATCAGTTTATACCCCTTACGCGACTTTATTCCGAAAGTGGACGCGATACATCGGGCGGTGCATTGGGTGGCGTTTAGATTACATGACGAAGGAAATATATTATGAGAAATGAAATGGTGGACTTAAAAGCTAATTGAGGTCTAGGTTAGGTAGGCATATCTTAAGCTGAGAAATTCTCTAGGTTAGGTACCTACAGGCACTGTCCAAATAGAGAGAGATAATCAAAGCCATGAAATCACTTGGGAGCCAGCCAAGGTCTTGGGATGCTTGATTGCCCAAGAAAAGAAAATAGAAAGAACGAGCTTGGAAGATTAGGTTCTGCGCCATGCATGTACGCAATGTGGTATCATTCATTCTTCAGACTGAACATGTTTTTACCATTCCTGTTCCCTCCCTCCCTTTTCCGCCAAATATCGTTTTCGTAGCCCTCGTCCGTGTACCTTGGCCTTAACCCCCGAATCCCACACCAGCGCTAGATAGGTGCGTAAGGAATAATATCAGGAAAAAAAAAAAAAAAAAAAAAAAACAAGACACAAGCTTTCTCTCCCTCTCCCTCTCCCTCTTTGTCTGTCTGTCTTTCTATATCAACCTCCATCCTCGCGGTATAGAATATAGTTAGAAGAACAATACAGGTAGTGAGCCAGGTAGAGTTTACCCTCCTTATAACGTCATCCTCCTCCTCCCCCGTCTCGAATGTGCCTGATTCGCAATTAAAATAGCTGGCTACCCACGTGGGTTTACTCTCTTCGTGTAGGTTGAGTATTAGATAGAAGATAGATAGGTAACGGTGCGGTAGGCCGCGCCGAGAAAATAATATAGAAACAAAAAACAAAAAAAGGGGGGGTAGGGGGGAGGGGATAAGAATCGGAAAAAAAGGACAGGAAAAAGAGTGCCGTCGAACGTCAAACTGTCCGGACATGTGCAAGTCCAAGACGACGAAGAAAAAAGAAAAAAAAAAAAAAAAAAAAAAGTGATGTGCGAAACGCAAAAAATCTCAAGCGGCGGCGGTCGTCGGCAACCGATTCTTCTTAGGAACCTTGGTGTTCTTAGCGGCGGCGGCCTTCTTGGAGTCGTCTTCCTCGGCCTTTTGCGAGAAGTCTTTCCACTTCCTCCACCCGTCGAAGTCGATCAGAGCCTGCATGCAGCCCCATTCCATAACCTTTCTCTCGAGCCAGACGAAGTTGACAGGCTGCAAAAGGGGAGAGGAGAAAAAGAAATTCGTTGATTAGCACAGCGCAAAAAAAAAAAAAAAAAAAAAAAAAAAAGAGTAATTATTAGGTTTTAGTTTAGAAATTTTAATTTTTTTTTCGCTTACCTTGGTTAGGAAATCGTTGCAACCGGCGGCCAACGCCTCGTGCCTGTCGCTCTGTAGGGAGCTGGCAGTGAGGGCGACGATGATGACGGGGCTCTTGAACATCTCCGTATTGACGAGCTTATCTTCCTCCGCGGGTTCCGCCTTGATCTCGTCCGGGGGGCTGCTGGCGGACGAGGAGAAGACGCCGATGGAGTTAACCTTCTCTATCCTCCTGATCTCGCGGGTGGCCTCGAGACCGCTCATGACGGGCAATTGGATATCCATCAGGACCAGATGAAAGCCGCCGGCGCGCCACTTATTCACCGCTTCTCTCCCGTTCATGGCCGTCTGCCATCGGACTTTTAATCGCTTCACGAAGGCTTCTAATAGCTTTAGGTTGATGATGTTGTCTTCGACGATGAGGACGTTGATAGGTGGGACGCCGCCGTTCAACATGCCCGGCGGCAAGGAAGGGTGTTCGATAGGCTTCTTGATCTTCTTAGACCGATTGAGGAGTCGTGGCGAGGAGACGCGGGGAGGGGGGGTGGCAGTGCGTTCCGGGATAGGGGGAGTCGAGATCGAAGGGGCGGCAGGCGGATGATTGGACTGTTCTGAAGATGCACCTGAATGAGTCCTTGAGCGTGGCTGTCTTGGGTAATTGTGCATACCGGTAGGCTGTGATACGGATTGCGAAGCGTGACCGCTTGGGGCAGTAGAAACTGGCGATGCCGTATGCATTCTCTGAATTTTAGGCCTCGAAGTTCCGAGTCGTCTCGTCCCTCCGGGAGAGGGTAGCGGTGGTAGCTGTCCTCCGTTGATGACGGTTAGGGATGGGGGAAAGTGAAGCTGATGAGTACCGTTGAGAACTGTCGTGGAAGCGTTATTGGGGTGTTGAGCAGCAGCGGGGGGATACGGTGGGAAATAATCGGTTGCGGACTCGTGAGGCCGGTCGTCGGCGTAATATCTAGGATTCGGGGAGGCTTTAGGTGTACGACGGCTAGGTATATCGATTAAGAGGGCATCGTCGACGGATTGGCCACCGGGATAATAGGCGTCAAGAGTTCTACCCATGGGTTCGTCTGGTTGTAAAGGTCTGCTCGTTTGCTGTTCCCTATCACATATGCGAAGCGTCAGGTCTGGGGCGTCGTATTGACGCCCCAGAGAATTTGCGTATTTTCGCAAGATCAGATCGCGGACGTCGTCCACTAAATCTTCTTCATTTATGGTGATCAACGTAGGAGAGGCCAATGGCCGTTTAACCCATACTTTTCTCGTCACCATGTTTCCGCTGATTGGTAGAAGTTGATCAGCTTCGCCTGCACCTACTTCGCTGCTTGCATAGCCTGTATTGAGTAGGGTTTTGATCAAGGTAGTCTGACGGTTCGGGAGAATGCTCTGTCGCCTCGGTGGGCCTACAGGTCGGGATAACGGTATCGTGGGTGGTATTGTGGTGGGTGATATTGCGGGCGATAAAGCGCGGCTACAAGATGCGGATCGTCGAGGATAATCGTTTGCGTCGTCGCGACCGGTGTCGATGTCGATGTCGGCGTTGGTGTTAGTGTTGTTGCCTTTATCGTTGTCGATGTCGATATCAACGTTGTCGCGATACTGATGCTGATGCTGATGCTGAAGTTGATGCTGAAGTTGATGCTGATATTTTTGGTGTTGGTGATAATTTTGGTCTAAGGTGCGCGGCTTGAGATGTGAGATGGAGGCGGCGGCGGGATGTTCATTGATGCTCGGTAGCGGTAACAGTGTGGGTGTGGCGGCGGTTGAGACTGAATTGTTTAGATCAAGGCTTAAGGTGGGCGTAGCGACGGCGGGAATGGTAACCGAATTGATTGTGGATGTAGAAAATTGCAGATCCTTGCCGGACTTGGAGATGGTGGAAGATGGGGTCAAGCTTGTCAAGTTATTGACGTTGTTTATGTTGTTGTCTAAGTTGTTGCTGCTGCTATTGCTGCTGCTGCTGTTGTTGTTTAAGAAATGATTCAAGTTATTCTTCAAGTTGTTGCTCAAGTTGTTCACATTCACATTCACATCCACACTCGCATTCGCATCCGCACCTGTATCCTCGTTCGCTGGATCCCTTTCCAAATTCGAAGCCGAAGCCACAGCCACAGATTCCCGAATTTCGTTAGTTGAACTATGATGAATATTATCAGCGTTAGAGTTGCCAGCTAAGTCTAGCTGCTGCTCTAGCTCTGGTGGAACCCTCTCAGCTTGATCCCGATTTTGATCCCGACCTTGATCTTGGTCTTGATCCTGATTCCGATCCTGATCCTGATGCTGGTCCTGGCTCTGGCTCTGGCTCTGGCTCCGGTCTTGGCTTCGATCTCGGTTTTTGTCTCGATTTTGGGATTGGCTCGGAACTGGAATCAAAAAACTAATACCGAATCCATCCCCGTTCTTCTTCGGCGGAGTGCCCTGAGAACGAACAGAAATGTTGCTGGGTCTATCCTCGTTGGTAGCAGCTGTACTCACCGATGCCGCGTAGCCAGTAGTAGGAGTTCGCGTTCGTGTGCTGCTAGATGCCCTATCTTGGCCAAGACTCTGCTTGCTTGAACCCAACGTCGGAGACGCGCTGTGTCTTCGCAGGAGCTTGGCCTTGATACGGGCTGTGAGATCACCCATCTGACCTGCCGTTGAGTGAAGTCATAAAGGGAAAAGAATCAGACTCCTTTTATTTTTCTTCCTTTCAAAATATTTCAAAAACATGCAGGGCCGAGTCCGCTTGACTTCGATATTAGTGTCAAAGTATGTATGCAAATAAAACAAAAAGGAAGTAGAGATAGGTAGAAGATGGGAGGGTGAGCTATTGGAGAAGCCCCCATCGATTTGTGCTTGTTTACCTGCCGGGTGGATAAGACGGACGATATGATAGAATAGATAATAATAAATATAATAGTAATATATAAGCGTATAAATCACATACTGTAAGTTCTTATTTTTTCTTTTTTTTTCTTTTCTTTTTTTCTCTCTTCCCCTTTTACGACCAGGTCAACATGCAGCACGTGTGCTATGGTAGAAACAATCTTATTAGCGGGAGGCAAAAAAAAAAAAAAAAAAAAAAAGGGTTTTGTCTGGCATCCATATCGTTCGTATGCGTATGCAAATATTCCGGGGTACCAATGCTAGACGATGCCAACAACTAATAAACAGAATTGGATGAAATGGGGGTGGTGTGACAAGCGGCCAGACTCTTCCCTGTCCCAGAGCATGTCCTAAGCCTGTCTAAACCAGTCGATGTGCTGTGGGTGTTAATCTCTTTAGGGGAATTATGGGAGCTGCCCATGCACGAGGGATCGCGATCACTGCCAAATACCATAGATACCATACTATGTTGATGCCATAAATACCACATAGATCCTATAGCATGGAGGATAGCATAGGATTCCCGCATAGCATCATCTTGGGTCGACGCGTCTCGATTCAATTCTAGTTAGATCTTCCCCAGTTAGGTCCACGTTAGGTTGAGTCCTTTTCTCATTAGTGCGCTCTCAGACCTTGTAGCTTGTAGGTACTAGGTAGTAGTCAAATGGTAACCATAGGTGTGGGATGCCTAACCGCGGCCGAAGGAAAAAGAGAGCGATAGGTGCCCAGGTGTAGGGAAGTATACTGTGGTGTACGGGATATCATCCTTTTTTGTTCGACTCTTTAAATAGTCAAAACAGAAGAGAACAGTAGATTTTGTTTAGAAATAAAAAAGATAAAAGACAAAAGAAATGACTGCAAGTCTAGGTAGGTAACTTTCAGGAATTGGATTAGGTACGTATAGGAATTCCATCTTGATTCTTCACAGTGCTCTTGCCATCATTTGATTGTTGATTGGTTACATCCCGCAGCGAGAGTCTGTTTTGATTGGTTGGTACTCTGTAGATCGGCATCTTCGATTGGGTGCATCTCCAAGGCCCCGTTCCACCAAAACGTTTTCATTGGCCGCATCTTCATGTTTGCAGTCGCCCAACTACCTAACCCCTGTTACGAGTACGAAGCAAGCCACATCCAGTGCCACGGCTTTCAAAGACTGATAGCAGCTAATTTCAATCGAACCTATAAATCTTTAGCACTGACATCGTATGTAGAATAGTATGTAGGTAGAGTTCTGGTCTAGAAGATATTTTGTTCATGAACGGAGCATATGTCCCAATAGGTATGTTGTTAAAAGAAAAGAATTCGAGCTCGGATTTTTCTTGGGATCGAAATCTTATCTGCCATGCCCCTCAACCCCACCATGTACAATATGTAGGTACTGCATGTTCCTAAGACGGGTATCACGCTATTTTGTAGCACAGGAAAAAAAAGCCAACAACCTTGGAACGACGGGAACCTCGGGATCCATAGACCGTTCGAATGTTATTCCAGCTCCGGTACCCCCACCAGTGGGTTTTTTTTTTGCATCCAAGATTTTTTTTTTCACCTACGGGTGGATTTCCCAATTAATATAAAAGCTTCATCCTCACCCTCCCGTGAGTCGAGCTGTCATATGCTCCTGCGATGCCACCACGCATACCAGGCCCGTCGACGGTATCATCCGCCTTGACCCGATGTACCGTCCCATCGGCCTCAAGTAGATGCCAACCACAGCAGCAACAGCAGCAATGGCCTGCTCAGAGCATAGCTAGCTTTTCCACCACTCCTGCCCGCCCGCGCTTCACCAAGATCCGCCGTGTCTTCAGGACTTGGATCAATGGCCCCGGCTCTAACTTCCGTAAGCACATTCCCGGCGGCACCAATTATCTCCAGTCCCCCTTCGATAACGAACGGAATGTCGACCGCCCTTTTCCCCTCAATAAACATTTCAAAAGCGAGCCCGTCTTAGATGATCGCGCGAGGGAATTCATATGGTCTAAAATCATGAAAGATGGCGAGACGGTCAAAGCCGTCTCTGCCGAACTGGGCGTTGATATTAGGCGAGTAGCAGCTGTGGTGAGGCTAAAGGAAGTTGAGAAAGACTGGGTGGCCAAGGTTAGTTTTCCTCTCTCTCACTTATATTCGATCCCCTCTCGGCGCTTTGAATGATGATTGTCAACATTACCCAATTCGATAAGTCTTGAAGACAACTACATGGTTACAAACTTTGTTGCGAGCCTCTCTGATAACAAACGCCTCCTATCATTTCTTCTATTTGAGAGATTTTTTTTTCCTCGTTCGGCGTTTCCCTTTGCTAACGCGCTGCGATATCAGGGAAAGAGATTGGCGACGCCATATGCCAAAGCTGTGCTAGGCATGCTGCCGACGCACACTTTCACACCAGAAAGGAGGAATGAGCCATTCGAGCCCATAAACGAGCTGCACGTACACCCGTACACTACAAAGCAGATCTTCTGGCCGACGTCCGAATCGCGTCACTTCACGCGTGCCGACGCGGCCAAAGCCTTCCACCCCAACTTGCTCTCCGCGGATGAACGTGTCCCCCACCCGGAGTTGATCCAGATGGAGAAGGAGCTTCTGCAGGGGCGGCCGCTGTGGGACGCGAGTGAGAGGTTCAAGCAGGCCGCGATGGAGTCGGAGAGGAAAGCTGCCAATAAGCAGGCTGCAAAGGCCGCTCTAGAGGAGAAATACACTACCCGAGTGCATTCTAACCGCTTCGAATTCCGCTTTAAGCAGATTAACTCGGAGAACGTCGGCCCCAAGGGCAGGGCACGGAACGCCGTCGGCTGGAGATATGGTGCGCCATACTATGACCGTGCCAAGGGCGAAATCAAGATTCCTACTTCGGTTCCTTGATTTAGCATTAGGCAAAAATACCATGCCGGTTATTTTAATGGTTATTTTGAGCGTAATCCATATACCTATAGCGATGCCTGCGGGATTACTGCAGCTCTGTTAATCGGCTTATCTGAGCAGAGCATCTAGCAGTATAGTCGAGGAGTGTTTGTACAAGAAATGTATAAATATCTAAATCTAAAAGATGCATGGGTGGGCGGACATCTTGAGGGTCTAATGAGTGATGTCAGTCTATGAGGCGCAGGCCAAACCCGGCAGCCATCTTTCTGTATACATAATATCCAAATACTTGTATATACCCCGCGAGTTATAACAACAGTTTGGCATGTTCTTGCCATGGTACTACTCCTTTTTCGTCCACGTCGACAATCAGGTTGTTTCGAAGTTGCTGAATCCCGTTAGGTGACAGTAGTCCCAGGTCGACGACACACTTTTCCACTGATCCATAGGTATTGCGGATCTTGGCTAATGTGCCCAGCATGGCCTCTTTCCTACAGTTCCACAAGTCAGCCTTTCAATACACAAGCATATCAGAAGACGGGAGCTAAGGATGAGACGTAAGAATTGAGAATGCCAGATGGGTGAAAAGGAGGCAGTGATGTGTCAACAAGGCGGGGGGCTAGTCAGTTGGTTTAATATGTGAAGTAGAAGTAGGACATACTGGGATGAAATCATCCTCCTAGCGGCTTCTGGCTGGTCCCGTAGCGACGGGTTGTCCATCAAATGCGCAATGAGCTCCTCGTGACGCGACTTGAGCCCCAAGTCCGTCAAGCTGTACTCATGCGCTACGACTTCATCGGGTACACCGCATAGGCTCAAGATCAGCCCGCATATGACTCCGGTGCGATCTTTACCGGCTGTGCAGTGAAGAAGGCAGGGGGCCGGTGGAGAGGATGTAGGCGAGGCTAAATGCTCTAGTATCGTCCTAAACGGCGCGTAGTTGTTACTTGGCGAAGCCGCCGCAGCGAGTATGTCGCTATACGCTGCTACGAAACCCTAATTGGGAAATGTCAGTCTAGGTTGCATACCCGGGTTGAGCTGTCAGCCTCTTGTAACGACTTGAATTAGCAACCGAGCAACGCGCAAGTACGAAACAGCCTGCTTTGAGCGAGTCATGAACGAGCTGCGATGAGGCGAGCGTAATTTCCCAACGGACCCCATTCACACTAATCATCGCTCTTCAACCTTGGCCCAAAATGAGGCCAGCAAAAATTCGGCGGCCCCCAAATGAAATGCAACTCTATACTCCCTCAGCTCCAATCTCTCAACACCCGCTCGTTTAATCCTAGTCTTTCGGTCCGAACCAGAAGGGATTGGCAAAATTATCCAATCGCTCAGAAAGCCTCACCGCGCCGTTCCAACGCGAATCTTCACCGTGGCTCTTTTTAGCGCCTGACGCGCGCAAATTGCGAATACGTACCTCTGCATGCTCCGAGGCATAGTTCTTGTACCTCAGAGCCAGGGATTCGGGCGAGTAGTCCAGGTCTAAGAAGACGGGAACGAAGTGGCGGCTCGCGCCGTCCCACTCCTTGATGCTCCAGCCGAAGCCGTCGCGCAGGCCCTTCTCGATCTCGACTGCTGAGCGCAGGTCGAACACCTTCGTGATACCCAGCTCCTGCAGCTTCGACACCCCGTCGTCGGTGACCTTGGACGGCTCCGAGGAGCGGAAGACTAAGCCGCGGCGCACAACCTTGGTGTCGCTCACGGGGTAACCGCCAACGTCGCGGAAATTGGGCAGCCCGGCGATGTGCACAAAGGGTGGGCTAGGAAGATCAGATTCCGCCATTTTTCCTGTTCTGTTTTTCCTCTCCCTGTCCTTATACGGCTTCAACAAGGGGGGTCTTGAAAACGGGAGGTACCTATTAGGTTAGTTTCCTATCACGGGTGAGGCTTGCTTGAGAGAGCCTTATTAGGTCAGGTAGACATAGAGTGAGGACGTAAGCAGCTCGGAGGAGGTCCGGAGCGGTGATTTTCAAACAAACAAAAAAGATCTAACCGATAAGATACAGAATTGGTTGGTTGGTTGTTCAATTGGTTAAGCACCCCCGTACCCGTCCCCATACCCATACCCATACCCATACCCATACCCGTACCCGTACCCGTCCCTCCCCTCCCCTCCCCCTCTTGGATCTTACAATCTTACCCAGGTCCATATAGATTTAGGCTAGGTGCCTTGTGTAAAATTGCATTTCACCACGAGTGTGGCGCATTGGGCTCTGTGAGTTGTCAATGGAAGATTGTTCGTAAAACCAACACAGCAGGTAATATGAATAAATCTATTCGCTACCTTTTTTCGGTGAATGGGGACCGAATTACAAATTAGTGGGAAAAAAGGGTAGAATGATGAATGGAGCGAAACGAAGAGGACAAGGGAGGGAGGGGTTGTAGGTAACACAATGTAAAAAGCTCCCAAATCAGCGAAGCCTTAGGTACATGCATGTACACGGTGTTCATGTATAACAATCTACCTGGATATGTACTTCCAAATATTATATATAACCCTAATATACATAGTTTACCTAAAGCAGTTACATGTTAACCACATGTTCCTTGAAACCTTATGTGACCGTGCTACCTCGTGTAATCTGGTGCAATACCTTAGTCAGCGCTGTCTTACATAGTATTTTGCATAATGCATGGTGTAAGCCAATTATGTACGCCATACTACGCCATAAATGATATACAGGCTAGGTAGTATTTTTTAATCACATGCAGGCAAGGACGTTAGGTAGCGTTTTGTTACCGACAAAATATTGTCTTATGTAACGAGCGGAGAGCCTCAAAATGTACCTGTCAAAGACAGCCCAACATCAACTTTTTTTAGTTATACACACATATACATCCATGATGCATCATACAGCACAGCAACGCGACAACACAGCAACCTAGTAGTACTTGCAGTTTCTCCCATAGCTAGGAAACCCGGTGTTTTTTCTTATTTTTTTTTTCCTTAACCGAGACCCAATTGAGAAACCGAGGATAGGCAACAATGCGTCGATGATGTGTCCTTGAGCCTCAATTAGATCTAGCCAGGTGACAGCATGCCTTTCATAGACGCGGCGGGCCGCGGCGGCGGGGGGGGGGGGGGGGGGGGGGGGGGGGGGGGGGGGGGGGGGGGGGGGGGGGGGGGGGGGGGT